TGTAACCTGATGGTGGTTGCAATTGCACAATACTGCCTGATGTAATTGTGCTATGGAACTACGTTATCTGTAGTAGCTCTGAATAAAATGGTTGGGGGATCACTCCCCCCAAAATACACTGCTACTGAGTCCGTTATAATTCATGATGAAACTGTAAGAAAGAGTCGCCTGCTCCTCAGGGGTTCAAGACTGCAAATCCTTACTGGTGCCGACAATCTCCTCTCTCTTTTTAAACTTTCCACCTTGTGTTTAACAGCCCACTGTGCAGCCATGAAGACACCAGGCCCAGGGGTCTTTACAGATTTACTAACCCAACAAACCCATTGCCACCAAGTTGATACTGGCCCATAGCGACCCTACATTAACCCCTAACCTACCAGTTGCTCCTCAACTGCCTAAGGAGTTTAAAAGAGCAGTTGTTCTCAGTCCCAAAAGGTCTCTATGAAAAGATCATTAGATGTATAAAAATAAAATAAATAAGTAGAAGGAGAAAGCGAGGTTTCTCCTATTTACGTAAAAACCAATAAATATCAAGTTTTTAAAAGGCTGGAAAAAAATCTCAAAATATAGACAAGGTGATTTCTACAATGATGGTTTTTATCTTTATGAATGGCGTTGAAAGATATATTTAAATAAAAGGTTTGAGCTTACAGCCTCTCTTTAATATGGCATTCCTTAAAATACTGGAGTTAAGCCATTAATGTGTACTTTAAAGAGATTTTGTGCAGAATTATTTAGGTTTTCCCCAAATAAGCTAACATTTTTGTGATTTATGTATAATCATCTTTGAAAAACACTGGCATGTTTAACTAAAATGATTTGAAATTAGTAAATTAACTGAAGAATTTCTGTCATAGTACTGAAACAAGTTAAATTTTGAGTCATTGTGTAATTTAATCATAAAGAAGTAACGAGCATTCTCATATTTTAAATAATAAATACAAACACCCTATTTTATAACACCCCATTTATATTCGGTTTGTACTGAAATAGATTTTGTTGCAGGGGCAGGCAAAGGGAAAGCTTAAATTTTTTGTAGTCAGATAATGTTAAAACAACAAACAACTTTAAAGTTCAATGTATTCTTAATGTATTGCTTATTAATACTACTGCTTAATATTTTCTACTTTCAGCTGTGCTTAGCATGTAGCTATTTCTTTAAATATTTCAATAGGTTAGTGATCCTAATTATTCATTTCCTATTATTAGATCTATGAAAAAATTTCTTCTTTTTACTTTCTTTAACACTACTATTTTATAGTTAATGAGGATTGTATATAATTTATGGAACAAGTAGAATGAACATACAAACAAGTGTAAAATCTGTTGGGATTATATATATTCCAGAAATAGAAACTAGCTTTAATATATTTTCAGAAAAATAACAATTGTTGAAATCCCTTGGATTTCAATTTTACATTTAAGTAAAATAAGGTTGAAATTCAATTTTATATTTAACAAAAGCAATCATCATGTTAACCATTGTACCCTGATTCCTATGTAGAGAGAAGCTGCTTTTATATTTTCACATCCATCAGAGAACCAGTTTAAGACGACAAAGTCTATGAGGCAGGCAGCAGCTTACCTGAAGGCCGATGGGACCCGGAGGTCCAGGGAAACCTCTTGCACCTTCATCACCCTTTTGTCCAAACATTCCCTGTTGTCCCCTCGGACCTGGCTCACCATCACCTCCCTATAAAATGCAACAAAATGATCACACACCCGAAGAATCATTTATGACACAAGTTATAAGCTAGCCATTTTTAAAGCTATGTGAGAACAAGGACAAAGTAAATCCCATTATTTGCCGCAGGTTGGAAGTCTTACTTACGTTCTCTATTTATAGAATAAGGGTATTTTGATTTTTATCACATATGCTAAGGGCAGAAAAATTGCCTAATAAAGATATAATATTTATAATTCATTATACAGTAAATAAGTTCTCAATTGGGTATTATCTATTTTCAAATGACATTACAATGTGGGATTTTGGTATATTTTTGTGTGGTTTTGTTTTGTATTAATAGGAATCAGCTTAGCTAACTGTATTAGGTGACAAATTTGATAAATGTTAAACATGTAGGAACAAGCAATTCAGTAAAAAAAATGTTATCTGGTCAGGTGATAGTTCATAAATTTAATGAGGGAGTAGCATGGATTTAGATGTTCTGAAGAAAATGGAAACACTCACAGCTATTCCAGGGGCACCAACAGGACCCTGAAGACCTGGGGGACCAGGAGGACCCTGTTGAGAGACAAAACATCAGTAAAGTTAAAACTGACGCCAGAAAATCTCCTCTACATAAAGCAGAGCATTTGTCTGATAACCATCATTAAATAGCCAAAATTCCTTTTAAAAAGAAAAGATTATTCAGTAATATACAGCATCTAGCGCTGTCAAACATTATTTATTTTGCTCGCAATTGCATATTTGGAATCACTTTTAAATTGACATTTATTAAAAGCACTTTTATCTCTAATATTTGTTATTCAAAAAATGGTTTGTGTATTACTGTAAATCAAGTTGGAGATTCTGATTTGAAACATCTCAAAATATTATATTTCTTTAATGAAACAAATATACATGGAAAAGAATGCCTAAAAATTCATATGAACATCAGAATCTTTATGCACATAAAGATGATGAGGATTCTATACTAACAATATAGTCAGGAAGGAAAATTTTCCTATTAAACTCAGTGTTATATATTGAATACAGCATGTTTTAGTTTTAAGTCAAAGTTTTAATAGGCATTATGGTTCTTAGATGCATACATTTTTCTTCTCAATTGCCTTAAATTATTACATCAGTAATTGATGAGGTATTTCAGGAAATTCAGGCTCTACAGGCAAATCAGTCAATGGTCTATGTTGTTCTTTATTATAATTCAACATATTAAAAAGAGTGCTCAGAGGTAAAGGTAGGAAAGTGTGGTCCCTGGGTATCTGAGGCCCTTTCCAGCTGTCCTCTAGGACAAACTTCCTTTTCATAGTACTGAGACAATTTCCCCACTATATGGCTATTTGCACTAATGAGGCAAGCGCAGTGGTGAATGAAGCCTGGGTACCTTAGGGAAAAGCATGGTGACGGCAGCAAACTGTAACACCATGGATGGCATTCTTCACCCTTATGAACTCTCAACAAGGAAATGTCTGCTTCGCTTACATGTGATTATTAGGACTTGAATATGTGGCAGGAATTTTACTGAAATTATGCATTGAGTTGCTAACCACAGGTCAGCAGTTCAAAATCATCAGCCGCTCCACAAGAGAATGAGGGGCTTTCTACTCCTGTGAAGAGTTACCTATGACCTTGGGCATGCACAGGGGCAGTTCTACCCGTTCCCACGGGCTTGTTAGGAGTTCGCAACAATGGCAGTGAGTTTTTGTTTGTTTGCATGTTTGTTGTTCTTGGAAGTCTGAGAATTCATAGAACAGAAATTACAGTATCTTAGCAGGCAATAAAATTTTGAAGCAAAATTTTAATATTTGGAAAACTGCATTTCCATGATGAGTTTCAAAGATTCTAAAATTTATAGAATTTTTGATAAAGATGATACAACATTAAATATAAATATAAATATACATTCAAAGTGCTATAAAGGCCTTGGATGTTTCATATAAGAACACAAAAGGTTCATTGTTTTGGTTTCAGATTCCATTTTATAATCGACTCTTAAGAAAAACTGTCACTCACCAAGTTTTGATGTAGAAAAGAACATTTACAATTATCTGAAAAGATATTCAAAATACTCCTCCCTTTAGCACTGCATATCTGAGTAAGTTCAGATTTTCTTAGTGCATTTTACCTAAAACATGATATCACAACAGATGGACTTCAGAAGCAGTTATAAGAATCTATTTCCTTCTATGTACCTAGACACCCCAAAAAGAAAATACTTCCACTTCTCTACCTAAATATTTTTGCTTGGGGAAAATATAGATATTTTTCATTGAAGATATTATGGTAATATTTCAGTTAATTTTCAATTAATCGATCAAAATATTATTTTTTTTCAGTTTTAACTTAGAGTAACACATATAGATACAACGTTTTGGGGTTCTTCAACAAGTTTTAGGTGCGTACTGCGAACTCTGTGTTATTACTGAAAACAAAAACTCCATTGCCAAGAAGTAATTCTGACCCAAAGTGACCTTAGAGGGTAAAGTGAAGCTGCCCGTAGATCGTCAAGGCTGTTTTCTTGCAGACTTAGACCGTCGCGTTGTTTCCATGCAGTAGCTGGTGGATGGAGCCAGCAATCATTCCGTTTATCTGTCAACTGTTTACACCCTGGCCACCAGAACGTTTTCATTTTTCATAAAGAAGGTAGACTGCAGGAGGATTTGCCGACTTAGTATCATATTCATCTGTCCAATTTTATTAGATCCCAGAATTATAGTATTGCTAAAATCTTAGGGTAGGTAAGTAAATAATACCATGGAAAATGATCCATGATAAACAGTAAGCAGTATTAAAAGTTAAGAATGATTCTTGGAGAGGAAACGAAACACTCACACTTTCTCCTTTGTCACCCTTGCTGCCTTTCTGCCCTGGTTCACCAATTTCACCCTGTAATGGAACGATTTGAGTTAAACTTCATCTCTAATCCATCACACTTGTCATTGCCTTTCTTCAATTATTCTTTGGTTTAAATATCTCCACTATAAACTAATCACAATAAGAGTACATTATGTTTGCAGAAATCTTATTACATATTCATCAATAATGGTTTTTTGTTTTCCAAATGTTAAAGTGTGGCTTATTATTAGTATACTAATGCATAATATTTTGTAAAGTCAAAATATATATGTGATAGATTCTTTTCATTTTGTCTTTCTTATTGGAAACAATATGTTTTAAAAAGTAAGTCATCAAGCTGACACATTTTTTGTTCTTTACCTTCATTTTCTTGTTTACATAGCACCCTAAGTCTCAACTTCAAATATAAAACCAGGAACATATTAATCTTTATGAAACATTTGCACAAAGTGTACTTTGAGCTGGAATATAATCTAAAGATAAAAATGTTAAATTAATAATTCTTAAAATATTTTTTTTTCGGAATGTACTAATACAAATGAAAACACCAACCTTATCTCCATCCTCCCCAGGGGAGCCAGCAGGACCTGCGGGACCAGGGAGGCCTACAGGACCTTGGACTCCATCTCTCCCAGCTGGGCCTTGAGGACCTTTTTCTCCCTATATAGCAACAAAAGGTTAATTTCATATAAGAAACCCATAAATTAGCCATTGGTTATAATCTTCAGTACAGCTACAACTCATATGCATTTTTACACTGACTTCATGTTCACCAAGGACATTGTTTACAGTGTTCCCAAAGAAGAAATACATTGCAGCAGGAAATGGCCACTCAGGTAACAGTCTATATTCTCTGGCATCATGACTTCATAGGCTTCGGACAAGATGGGATGCTGGATGGCACTCCTGGTTCTCCCACTCTCTGCATCATCAGGGGAACTACAAATCTGTGGGTCCTACGTTTGCATCACCGTACTCAACTTCATCACCTCAGTGGCTTCTTTTTCTTTTGTATCTATGAATTATCTCTTGACTATGTCCAATTAATTGAATCCATATCACTGTAAACTTATTTCAAAATACTAGTATTTTTTGTCTGGAATTTGCCTTTTCCACTTTTACTCTTATTTTCTTCCCATTGAACACACTGAAAACAGAAGATGCATCAGATAATATTAGGACTCTTCTGAGGTTGATACACTTCTTTACCATTACTACTAAAATCAAGACCAACACGTTGATTTGCTTGACAAGACAGGGCTCCTAACACCTGTCCAGTCATATCTAGGGTCACCTTATTTTGCTTCCTGCTTTCTTGCCCTTCAAAGATTTTTATCCCAGTGTCACAGCTGGGTGTTGTGCTCCTTCCAGGAAGGTGGTGGGATAACCTGCTGTGCTTTGGATGGAATGCTTCGATGAAGACCTTTCAGAGATTTACTTCTTCTCATCATCTTTTAGTATCAAGATCAATGTGTCCTTTCCAAGGAGAGACTAGGGTAGGTTCCCATTCTCATGCAATTCTCATCATATTCCCATTCCTAATACAACTAACCAGTGTTGTATTTGTACATTTATTTGATGAGTCTTTGAATATTATCTCATTTTAACATAAGGTATTAAAGTCTATAAGTATTCTGTGGCATCTCGAAGGCCCGTGTCCCAAAGTAACAAACTAAACATCATTTGTTGTGATATTTAAATAATTAATGATGGCAAAAATAACAAAACATAGTCAACTTGCTAACTCTGAGTTATTGCTTGCTGGTTTACACAGTGGGCAATATTTATCATATAAACATATTCTTGATGTCGCTCTGGAGATCTTTTATTTCATTTAAACTAAATAGCATCTCATCTCGAACTTATCTAAACTCCTAAGATTATAGATGTGCCATTTACAGTGAAGTGCCTTAGTTTGAGACAAAATAAAATTCAGATATATTATTTCATTTGCCAAATTTTCTTGATAGTTGTGGTACATATATAATCATTTGTTAATTTGAGGATTAAGAATGTAGGGGTGGAGTCTAGTCTGTCAATCAGAACATAGCCAATGAGGCTTCTGTGTGGGGAGGGCCTTCTCCTGAGAATTCTGGGAAATCTGGTATTTCCTCCTTGGAGATGGGAGACTCTGTTCACACCCTGGGAGACTTAGCAGCTGACAAGGCACATGGACCCACCCTGATGCAGAGAGACCTGATGCAGAGACCCCTGCCAGCACTGAGATGTTTCCAATGACACTGGATCCAAAGACTTTCTACCCACTGGTCTGTGATCTTCTACATTCAACATTACTGCATGTGCTTTGTGAGTCTAAAGAGGACTTTATAGATTGATATCAGACATATGGGCTAATATCAGACTTATGGACTTGATCTGAACTGGGCTGGGATGTTTTCTCAATGTTCAATTGCTCTTATACATAACTCTCTTTCTTATACACATATGTGTGTCCATGGATTTGTTTCTCTAGTCTACCCAGACTAACACAATTGTATAAATAGAACAGGTAATTTTTTTGGTACAATTTGTAAATTTATAAATTTGTAAATAAGACAAATTTATCTCATATGCCTTCATGAGAGTAGCATAATATTCAACAAGGAATCGCCTGACATTTACTTCTCCTCATCTGTCTAAATTAGATTCTCCATTTATAACTCTACAAGATGGGATGATTCCTATTTCATTATGTATCTCTTGGCTCTCCATATCCATCCCTATAGTAAATAGTCATCTTTTCACAAGTAGTCAGTTTTTATGTCAGCATATCTATTCATCTATTCACATAAGTTACTAAATCTTTAAAAACCCACTGTTTTCTCATGCCTCCAAGTTCTACTGCCAAATCAATTTATGGGTTTTTATCTTATTTTCACTGTGTATTGAATGTAGTACTTCAGGTGAATTTAGCTACAACTGTCTACAGCCTAGGTGCTTTCCTAAGACAGCTCTCTATCCATACTCTTTGCCTAAGTGCCATCTCAATAAAGTAGTTTCCTTTGAAAATCACCTTGCCTGCAGCTATATCTGTTAATATGGTGAGTAGTAGAATTTGCTTCTCCTTATATACTTTGCAGGCCTCACAGCCCCACCACATGAGTGATTTAGTGTGGAGATCCTAACTGGCCACATGTATTGTTATATATAGGTATTTATAAGGGCAGTGGTGGTTTAGTGATATGATCCTTGCTTTGTTTAGGGGATAACCAGGTTCAATTTCTGAACCTCAAGGGCAGCCACCACCCAGCTGTCAGGATGCTGCTGAATAGTTTTCAACATAGCTGACTAAAATAGGTTAGGGATAAAGATATTGTAATTTAATCCCATAAAACAGCCCAAGCAAACCCTATGGATCACAGCAGACCAATCTACAAAAACTCAGGACACAATGCAGAACCTGGCAGACTTTACTTCTACTCTCATGGTTCATCATGAGTTTCCCCAGGAGACTGAGTCTAGAGCAGTTAACAATGTGTGGCTCTGGTGTTCCACCATCTCCCTCCCAAGGAGTTGGCGTAGTGGCTACAAGAACCTGGGGTGTGTCTTAGCAGGCTCCATCTTCTTTCTCTTTCTTCATGTAAGCCTAAACTCAGACTTGAATGACATGTTTTTGTAACACACAGCTGGCTAACAGTATTTAAGATCCAAATTGTATATTTAGATATAGAAAGAAGTAAAAGGCTGCATTTAACATTTGAGTATGTGTTTTGATCAGATTTGGGGGCCTCTACATTAAAGACTGCGGGTACTATAATGGTTAATTTTATGTTCCAGCAACAGCTAACCATTACTCAGGTTGCTGTTCTGAGAGTTAAGGTAATATAATATTATGTCCTGGTGGCAAGCATCTGGGTAGTAACCGAAAGGCCCACAGTTAAAATCCATCCCCGACGCTAAGGGAGAAAGATGCGGCAGTCTCCTTCCCTAGAGATCTCCAGCCTTGGAGACTCTCTGGGGTCGTTCTAGTCGGTCCAATTGGGTCTGTTTTACTATGAACACAGGAACAATGGGATTGTCTTGGTTTGCAGGATGTAACATGATTTAATTATCACCCAGCATATAAACTATGGAAATATAATGAACCAAATGGCTAATGACAAGGAATTTTCTTAGGCTGTATTGTGCCCTCCATTCTGTCCCCCAGAATATGAACAGATTATCTAGAAGAAACCTCGCTCTTTTCACTCTGCATTTGTTTTCTTCATTGCCTGACCTAAGAGTCCAGAGCTGCAAGAATCCAGGGGGCCTCAGCTTATCGCCTGACCTATGGATTCTACTGCTCCAGCCCCATATTCAGGCGACCTAACTCTTTCAAGTACAACAATCCCTCTTCATGCTTTCTCTCTTTTTAATTGATTGTTTTTGTAGAGAATCCTGTCCAAAATTATTTTTGTTCACCCAACACGTTTGGCCATGTTTATACTATTGTACCTGAGTAGAAACTTTCTTAAGCAAAACAAAACACTACCTCATGTAGTGTCTAGCACTATGTTATTTTCAGTAATTATTGGTGGAAGGGAACAATCCGTGAAAGGAGCACCGCTGTGGCGAGTCCTGAGGGAGAAGGTGCGCAGGGCACCTCCTCTGCCTTTCAAAGTGAAGCCTTGGGCTCAAGTCCCAGCTCTAAAAACATCTTCCATCAATAATTTCTTATCAAAATCACTTCTAATAATCAAGTATAATGCTTTTCTTACAGTCTTTATCCTCATCATTTGTATAGTCTTTATTCTTCATGCAGTCAAGGAGTTTGATCAACATAAAAACCCATCATTCGGTATATCTTCTTAATATGTACTCATTAACATTTCATTAATTCATTAATATATTCTCTCTTTGTACGAAAAACAATTTTTGTTACTTCTCTCTGTATGCATTCTCTATTACGTGATGCCAAGAATGGGTTACTCTAGAATTTTGGACAAATTTATTTGAAAGGGACTAATCTTTTTATTCCCCCCCCCCCCCCTCTAATTAATGCCCAGTATACTACAACATTGTTTGGGCATACTTTTAGTTTCTTAGTTTAATTGATAATTGGAGAAGTTGTGAGAGGAAAAGAAAGAAGATTTTTCTCCCATTTTCTTATTATTAATGTCTCAGAAACAGGATATATTTAAAATAGAACTCCATTAAATATTAAGCAAATGTACTGAGCAAGAAATATATTGCTTTACATTTTCTCAGCTTCTTAAAGGTGCTTTTTATGGCACCAAAGAATTATACACACCCAGGACATGGCCCTACTCAAACCTTCTAGCTGATCTCTGCTGGGCAGTGGACTATACAAATATAACTCTTTTAAAACTTGGAAACATGCAAATATTAACGCTGATGAAAAAATGAAAATGCTTGACAATGAGAGTAAGTCATTTGATGAAACACATATTCATGAGAAAGAAGTAATTTAAAATTTAAATGTACTTTTATATGTTCAGATATATGTGTATATAAAATTATTTGATTTAAACATCTTGATATAGTATGACCATCAATTCTTGCCTATATTTGCTGAATGTTATAATAATTTTGGAGAAAGAAGGCTTTTTGAAATTAATATGATTAAATAAATTAAATGGAGAAGCAATAAGTGGGAAAGATTGAGAAAGAAATAGAAACCTATATAGTTTAAAATCACTTAAATATACAATTTTTAAAAACCTATAGCCATGAGATGAAGTAATTGGTCAGATGTTTCTCCTTTTACTCGCTAGAAGTCAAAGCTCAGAGTACAAAAGAAGGGCAGCCCCTCACTGGGTCTCATGTACAGAGCAGGGAAATGTCCAGAAATGAAGTTGCACTGCAAAAGGAGCGAAGAGGTCACACAATTGTAATATAAAGCAGCAAGGTATAGTTTTCATCAAAATTACGATTTTATATTTTAAAAGGAACAAAATCACAAGCCTTGTGCACTGGTAATATCCAACTTCCTCACAAATATTAGGGTTTCATAAAGTGTGGGGAAATGTCATATCCTTTCATTGAATTTGAAATTTTATCTATTATAAATATAAAAAGAGGTGTGTTTGTATGCCAGGCACATCTGCAGCGAGAATGCAGTGGGGTAGGAAGAGTTATTGCTCCTGAATGAAAAGTAACAGCACGTGGAGGGCAGACCTAGAATGTATTTTCTCTGGAAACTACTTACGGGAGCACCTTTTTCTCCAGCCGGACCAGGTGGGCCCTGGGGCCCCGGCCGCCCTGGTAAACCGATTGGGCCAGCTGTACCTGCTGACCCACGTTCTCCCGGTGAGCCCTGACACAGAGGAAAAGAAACAAAGATTAATAATGGAAAGAAAATCTGATTACCAGTCACTTACTAGACACTGGAATCTTACAGTTTAGCAAACAATGAAAAAGTAACTTAGGCGATTGCAAGCTCTTGAAGTAGAACAGTTATATCTTCTATTAGATTCATTTTTAGTCCCACCATTAAGCAGATGTTTAGATGAGGAAGTGATATTCAGGAGAAAAAATATTTCAAATATATATATACATTTAATATATTCCGATGTCATCATCTTGTCTTTCAGTTCAGTTGTTTACAATCCTTTATAAAATATCTAATAAAAACCTCCTATATGATTTTATGGGAGGAAAACAAGGCTCTCTACTCCCATAAAGACACAGGCAGTTTCACTCTGTGCTGTAGGGTTGTTATGAGTCAGAATCGACTTGATGGGAGTGAGCTTACTTTTGGGGATACAATTTCAAATTACATTTCTTCTCAGCCTTATTTTCTATATTTTCATTATCTGCCTAGCATTAGCACTGAAAGCTGAATATATCGCAAAGTAGAAAAAGCTGTTCTTCTATGATTCAATGCCATGTTTTTTATCCAAAAAGCCACTTACTGTTTTTTCTCCAAAAAGCCACTTACTGTTTTTCCTCTAATGAAGACATAAATGACTCCCAGTGGCTGTTAACTTGGAATTTCTTTAAATTCACTATCTATTCAATTTCATTAAAATGCTCTTTTAATAAAAGGGATTGCAAGCAAAATTACTAGTTAATTTCTTGACTTATTTTTCTGATTAAAATCACAAGCTACTTAGACTAAAATTTTTGTTGGCCAGTTATCTGGATTTTGAAGCAATTAAAATAAATGGAAGAGATAAAAGTTGAAGTTACAAAGATAATATAAAAGGAAAAGTGATTTTGCCTTTCACTTTTCTTTTTTAAAGGACTTCCTGAACTACTATTTTAGCTTATTTTTTATTATTATTTTACATTTTAAAGAGATAAATAATTTAGAGAAAAATTGAAATGTGAAACTTAAACTTGATACAAACAAAATTGTTATTTTGGGGCAATGAGAAGATGTCTAAAAATCCATGAAGTGTTCTTTGTAAGTGTTCTTATTTAAAGAAGGTTGTGTGAATATTAAACTTTTACCCATCAGATATTCCAAATCCTTAAGAAAAAGTTTTGCTTATAAAGGAAAACTGCAGTTCATGTCATTTAGATAATAAATACCTATTTTTCATCAAATCTTTGATTGAATAATATTAAAATATTTGCATGCAAATGTTTGAACCACAAGTGTAATAATAGCACAGAGGCAGACTTCTTTTGAATTTAAAGACTGTGTGTGTGTGTGTGTGTGTGTGTGTGTGTGTGTGTGTGAAGTGGGTGTGGAGGGGCAAGCATAGTTCTCCAAATGTCTTCTATTTAAGAAGTGTAGCCCTAGAAAGCAAAAGGAAAATGACAATATCCAGCAGAAGGTAATATACAAGGTCACCAGAGGTGGTCCATTTCTCCCCCGCCCACCATTAGTATTGTTGTTGTTTGGTGCCATCCTATCTGTAACAGAACGACATGCTGCTTTGTCCTGCACCATCCCGGCAATCAATGTAACCACACTGTTGCAGCCTTCATGCCAATTCATCTCTTCAAAAGACCTTCCTGTTTTTTCTACTGACCTTCCACTCTACCAAACATGATGTATAGATACCTTAATTAATAATCTATGAGCAGGTGCTTGCTTTAACTTCCCATTTGTAAATGTCAGAAAAGAAAGTAATCAAAATATAAATACATTTCGATATTAGTGTTTTATTTATAATTAACTATGCCAGAATCAATGCAATTTACAGTGCTCAGGTCATATTTTTCTTTAATTTCCCTTTTAAATTTGAACTCCAATAGCTAGATCATGGACCAAAGTAGATATTGTGGTAAGCTATACTGATATTTGTAGATCAGACACTGGGAAAGTAACAAGGACGGTATCTGTAGTAGTCAGTTTTATGTCAATTTATGACTAGGCTATAATTCTCAGAAGTTTGGAAGTTGAGGGCTAGTAACCCCTCATAATCTGACCTAATACGATGGAATCAATTACATTTTGTAATCTACAGAGAGCACTCAATGAGTTGTAAAATGAGGGTACAATGAAACTCCTTTCATCAGCTCACAGCCCTGATGAAACTGTAAGGAACTTTCGTCTAGGGTATATTGTACTTTCTAAGCAAGTAGACACTGTGGGAACACTTGCTTGCCTTTTGCTTAATCAAGTTCCTGCATGTGACTTGTTCACATCTGGCAATCCTGAAGTCGTCAGCAGCCTGACATCTGCCCTGCTGACCTTGGCTTCACCAGCCTCTGCAGCCACCAACCTGTGGTATTCTACGAATCTTGGGTTCATCAGCCCTTGAAGCTACATGAGTCAGGAGAGACCTCCAACTTAACATCTGACCCACTAACTTGGAATCAGATCGAATTTACCTGCTTCTACAATTGTGTGAACCGTTTTCCTGATAGAAATTTCTATCTATCCTCCATCTATAAACATCCCTGGTTTTGATTCTCTACAGAACCTAGTCTAACACATGATTTTTATATTAGTGTGATAGGTACGTTTATTGTGCCAGCCTGACCAAAGAGAACATGCCGGATCAATAAGGTTGCAGTTTGATTGGAGGGCAAAGAGATAAATGGCTTGGCGAGCACTGCCTTTCTCACTCTTGCTCTCTGGTGATTGGAGCAGTGTGAGGCTGCCTTAGCTACCTCTCTGCCTCAACTTGCAAGCTACCCTGTGGACCATGTCATTAAAATTTGAGGCTCCTTCACGTCCTACTTAGCCACACTGCTGGAGTATACATCACTTGAGCTGGGGACTGTAGGATCCTATCATCTGGCTGACTGTTGGCGACCCACCTGCTGTTTGATGCCTTTGGCTGGGCAGCTTGCACTGCTCTAAGGAAGACTCAGCTCTACTTCCTTGCCCTCGAACTCAGTGGCCCTGAGTTGAAGGACTTCTAGTATATTAACTGCTTCACAGAAGTGAGTTGAACTGAGTCTTCTGTACTGCCATGTAGACTAATTAACTGTTGTATTCCTTTGTGATTCCTGGTTTTGTTTCTCTAGAGAACCCTGTCTAACACAATTAGAGTGCTTACAATTTTGCAAGCATTGAGCCCAAACCTTAACAATTGCTATGCTAAGTAGTTCAGATAATGGAGGTACTTTAACCCCATATGATTTGCATTTTTCTAGATAAGGGCTTGAATGCTCAGGCTTTAGCTAATGTGACTTAATTCACTACAGGAATTTTGTTGATTTCCATCAAAACTGAGTATTTCATAAATTAGTAAACATTTTTTGGTTTTGGTTTTATCTCCTAGGTCCAAATATTCATTCTCCATTATCCATTAGTTCATGTAAACTATGTAAAATGTACTCAAACAGTTTTCTTGTGTATTTGTTTATCTTTGTATTTATTCAACAATAACCCAACAACACATAATTGTTTTTAATATTGATTCCACAGATTATACCTATTGATACACTAAGGGACTTTTCATAAAGTTATACCTCTAATTTTCAAGATTTCTTTCTCATGGAGACAAATGTCTACGCATCTTTTGAAGATATATTCATGCTTTCCTTTCCCAGAAACAAGATATGGATGCACAATTTTACCTTATTTTAGCATTAGTAGCTGAACGTGATCATTACTTTTCATAGAATATTATATTTCTCACTTTTCCTCTAACAATATGCCTACCTAATTCTCACCATCACTTTCACACTCTCTTTACATTGGAATATTTAGTCACATTCATCTTCTGATTTTGAAATTTTGGGGATTTTTCATGCACCATTCAAATTCCAGCCTTTCTTTAACCTTAGGTCATCTATGGGTGTAACAAAAGTATTCTAATAATCTGAGAATGAGAATCATGATATATCAAAATGTTTCCAAAGTGTCTATTCTAATGCTGTAGATTATCAATAAGTATGCTCTGAATAAATTAAAATAATATTTGGCAGACTGAATTATGTTTGCAAATGATTTCCAGATCTCTTCATTAGAGGCCCAAAGCACATTGCATATATTTCATTACATAAATAAAGTGATCATATATTTAAGATCATAGTGAAATTATAAATATTCATTTTTTTCATTTTTAATAAAGTATGCAAGCACAGTGATATTAAATATCATTTAATAGATCTACAGTTAGACCTAAATCATTCTACATGTAATCATTTAATGCAGACGGGCATAAGGTATACATCTGAAGTCAACAGAAAGTTTCATAATTTGCAAAAAGCACCAGTTGAACAAGAATTCTCCGTAGCGTATTTTTAAAACTTAATGGAAAATTTCTTTACCTTTTAATTCCATTTTTTTATGAGCCCCTGGAAGTCTCCTCACATATTCCCTTCAATTGATGCACTGTGATTGATATGTTGCATGAAAAAACACAGTTTTACTCTACAATAGTTTAAACTAAACAAGATAACTCAAGTAATTAGTTTAATGTATTCCCAATAGGAAAAATTCTTTTGGTTTGAATCTATGGCAACATGTGTAGTTTATAGATTTTATATTTTTATATGAGAACTATAAAATATTTTAATTTCCCTAGGAGCATTCACATAATTACATTTCGGACTACAATCTCTTTTGTGTAGCCTGAATTAAAATTAATAATAAAACATTATTTTCCTATCCTGAAATATTTCTCATGATGCTGTCAACACTCATAAGTTTTGAAACAATGGATAAAAACAAGAAGATAATTATTTGATGTATAATTTTCCCTAAAGTACAACCATAATTTTCCCATTAATTATTTTGAATATTCTATAAGCTTGAATATTTTAATAACAGCACACTCTTGAATAATTGTATGTTTTGCTTCTTGAAATGAAAAGAGAAAATATCTGATGGTACTTACTAAGTAAATGAGTAAACAAACTTGTAAATATCATTTAAATATTCCTGTCTTTTTTTAAAGTATAAAC